TTCCGTAAATTTCATCTGCCTGTAATATTAGCCATCGCGGCTCAAAGAAGCGATTATCATGCTACTAGTCTTTACTAGCGGAGAGAAAAAAAAACGCAGGATAAAAAACACTGCAAACACCATTCCGTCCTACGTGCTCAATGTAGGACAGTGAACTATTCAAAGAGGTAATCCTCTTCCTGGTGACGAGTGATTTAACACACAGTTTTTATAACAGCTATGTACCTTCAAAATGGTTATATTTCTGAATCCTCAAAAATTTTATAAAATTGCTTTCTAGCGGGGATTTGTAACTGCGACTCGCCTTTATTATTATTTTTTACTTCGAAATCTTTGTGGCTACTCAGGAGACTCCATTGCTGAATCTTTCAAGGATTTGTCTTCAGTGCAATCCATTGGCTATGCATGGAATTTTTTTTTGTCAAAAAAACTTTTATTCAATTTATTCATGCGCTCTATAATCCTATGGGTAATGTTAGCAGATTTGGAGTCTGTTTTCTTAGTGAAAGACGCTATTTAAGGTATAAAAGTAAATTATGATGAGTGGCCAGAACGTATTTAATTGAAAGTAAGTGAAGGCTCAAGTAATTCATTTTTAGGAGATGATGGCTGATGCTCGCGTACTATGTGTGAATATAATACGTTAGAATAGTAGAAAAAGGTTTTATTCACTTCTGCTATATATACGAAGAACGACAGTTAAGGAAAACTCTTGAAGGAAATGTTTTCTATGAAAATTAATTAAATCTTGGCCTTGAACCAAGGAGCATAGTCGCAACATCCTCCCCAACCGAAAGCCCATCCATGCGGATATCCATATCCCCATGGGTGTCCCCAGCTCCATGGATAACCCCAAGGGCTCCATCTCCTGATTCGTTGACTTGCTCTAGAAAATAAAGTTGATAAAATGTTGTTATATAGGCTAGGCCTACTTACCCTGTATCTAGATTTTTGGCTGATTGATCTACTTCCTTATTTGCCTCATTGTATTCCTCAGTCATGGCCCAGTGTATCAATATGAAGCAGAGAATAAAACACAAGGCGATTCGGCAAGTGGGCATTACTTCTAAATATAATATTATTTTAGCTTCAAAGATGGAAACTTAAGTTTTTGCAGAAGTGATATTGGCATTGCTTGTGTAGTGCCAATGATGACATGGACGAAAATGTTCAGCTGCTAGACTTGCTGACAAGTAATTTTTGATCGTACAATAGTAGTTGTTGATACAGCAGAATCGACTTTTCTTAGACTGCAACGCAGAGAAAAGAAGAGCGGATTTTCTAAGTTTACTTCTACAATGGTATGACAAGTGTAGATTGAAATGCTTGTAAGAGTTGATGCAGCTTCACTAAACATGCTCCTTTTATACTTCCTATCCATCCGCTCGCTATATTTTTGCAGATAACATAAAAATGAGAA